TTAAGTTTTTTTTTTTTTATATTTCATAATTAAATGAGCATTATGAGTCGTGCACTTTTGGATTTTCCAAACTTTTTTTAATTTACCAACGCAAAAAAAGCGTATTTCAAAGGTATATGTCCTTTTGATTTTATAAAAGTTTTTCTTAAAGTCAAATAGGCGTATAAAGAAAATTATGTTTTTTATTATAAAACATTAAAATAATGCAGCATCGCAGAAGCAATATGACAATACTGGTGAAAAATGAAAAATTAAACTATAAAAAGGAGTAAAATGAGCATGGGAGTAAAATGAGTGTTTATTTAATTTATTGTTAAACCAAAACAATTGCGTATCGTCAAAATTAAAATGGTCTTAAAACAATTAAAATATAACGATTTACAGTAAAATATTAAAAATATACAAAAGTATGTGCAAAATCTTTAGTAATATAAGAAGTTGACTTTTGCATTTTTTTAACTAATAAACATTCGTAAAAAATTGTTGATTTTTATATCAAAACACAATATTAAATAACATAAATTATATAAATAATAAGCCGTCACACTTCGTCACCTTGTAGATTTAGTTTAAAAGAATGATAAGATGAGAATCAACTCATCGGTCGTACGGTGTAGGGGTTAGTTATCGGTCTGATGGCAAGCGCGCGGCTCGGGTTCGAATCTCGGTCTAAACTTGCATTAGCTCTACATCAAAATCCAAATAAAAAAATTACACTTGAAAAGTTCTTTTTTTATCATTTTTTTTTCAAATGGCATGGGCCAGACTTAAAAATTAACTATTATTATTATTGTCATATTGATGTTATTGTGTTGTTATTATTATTATCATAAAGTAGGATACAGGGGTTTAATATCGGATCTAATTTTTATTTCTATCAGCTCCGACTTTGGACCTTCTAGTGTCAAAAACGGAAATTTCGGCCACGACAAGGTCTAAAGTCGGAGTTAATTTAACATGCCACTAGAATCTACTTTGAGCCCACAAGTCCGACTGGAATCCTACTTATGGAGGTTCTATGTCGGCGTTACATTTCGACTCAGGCTGTTTCGGTTCCACAACGTGACCTTAAAAAGCGGAAGTGGAACACCAGGAAGCTTGACCTAGAGACACTGCAAACGTCTCTTACACGAAGTTGGTCTACTCTTTAGAACAACCAGACTCCAAATACCCGCAGCGAGACGGAAAAAATAGTGTTAAATACGATGAAAGAAATTGCTGCCTCATGTGACGCCTCTATGCCGCGGCTGAAAAATCGGAGTTTTCACAGGCCGGCGTACTGGTGGTCATCAGGTATAGCAGAACGTCGCAAAAGATGCCATGAGCTACGTCGCCGCGCAACGAGAGCTGCGAAACGCTCCCTAAACCAGGACTTATATTCAAGCGAGTACAAAAAGGCGAAAAGGACGTTAAACCGTGCCATCAAAGCAAGTAAGCGATGTTGTGGAAAGAGATCTGTGACGATCATGACAAGGATGTCTGGGGTAAAGCTTACCAAATTGTCACTAAACGACTTGGAAAGGCCTCATCACCAGAAGCGCCGAAGTCTCCTGCCTTAATGAACAGTATCGTAGCGGAGTTGTTCCCCAACCACCTGCCGCGGGAGAAAAAACACTATGCTAAAAACAGCGCAGCAACACCCTTCACAACCAAAGAACTTCAAGACGCGGCTAAGACCCTCAAGACAGGAAAAGCACCTGGTCCTGATGGCATCCTGACATCGCTGATCAAGATTATAGCCCTGAAATATCCAGATTTACTCCTGAACGCCTATAATGCATGTCTGACAACTGGCACGTTTCCCACAGTCTGGAAGCGGCAGAGATTGGTTCTTTTAGACAAAGGTAAGGGAAACCCTGTAACACCTTCGTCGTTTAGACCACTCTGCATGTTGGACATAGCTGGAAAACTGCTCGAGAAGCTCATACAGAAAAGACTTCGCAACGACATCGATCGTGTCGAAGGCTTTACATCTAAACAACATGGTTTCCGGAAAGGACGATCGACAGTCAACGCGATTCAAACAGTCATAGAGACAGTAACAGAAGCCTAGTCTGGTAGTCTCAAAGCTCGTAAACTGTGTCTCCTCCGCACACTTGACATAAAAAACGCTCTTAACAGCGCAAATTGGGGAGATATTTAAGATGCCCTGGAGCACAAATTTGATGCCAAGCCAGAAAATCTGGCAATAATCGATGACTAACTCAACGAAAGGACGCTGATCATAGAAACCATGGAAGGTCCACAGGAATACGATATAACAGCAGGCGTTCCGCAAGGTTCAATTATGGGACCTGACTTATGGAATACGGACTACGACGAGCTCCTAGAAATCCCGTTGCTGAAACAAGTAGAGCTCACGGGCTTTGCTAACGACATCGCGGCCACGATAATAGTGGACAGCGCTAAGAAAGCAGAACTATTGGTTCGGAAAACTATTGACGCCGTTAGAAATGGTTCCCAAAACCATTCGCTGTGGACATGGAAGGGAAAACACTGACGTCAACAAGGGCCCTGCGCTATCTAGAGGTAAAGATAGACGAGAAACTATCTTCCCGCGAACACCTTGATAGTGCATGCAGGAAAACCAGCAAAACGGTATCTAGCCTATCAAGAATCATGGCCAACACGATGGGACCACGACCCAAAAAGAGAAAAGTTCTTTTGGAAGCAGTCCACTCAGTGTTGCTTTATGGAGCGGAGATATGGACAAAAATTCTAAAGCAAAAGACCTACCGGCGAAAGATGGCAGCAGTGCTTCGGCGACGCCCTCTCAGAGTTGCCTGCGCCTATCACACGGTTTCCGAAGCGGCTGCATTGATCATTGTGGGAGCCGCGGCAATCGACTTACTAGCGTTCGAAAAAGTAAAACTCTACGACGCTAAATTGAACGGTGACAACTCGAAAGAGGAAAGAGCGAAAATTAAGAAAGAAACGCTACATGAGTGGCAGGACCGATGGACATCAGGGGAAACGGACAGATGGACAGCGCGCTTGATCCCAAACATCAACGTCTAGCTTTCGCGGAAGCACGGGGACACGGACCTCTTCCTCACCCAGCTATTGACGGGATACGGACAGCTTAACGCCTATCTCTTTAAGATGGGGCTGTATCGCACGCCGACGTGCACACACTGCCCGAAACAAATCGATCACGCCGAACACACGTTCTTAGAGTGTGCACGGTGGAAGGACTACAGAAGCAGCACCGAAGAAATTCTAGGCACCACGCTCTCTCCTGCGAGCTTGGTGACCTGCATGCTCAAACAAGAAGATAACTGGTCAGCTGTCGCAGCCTACGCGCAGCGCCTTTTAAAAGAGAAAACCGCAGAAAGGGACCAGTAACCAGAAGCAGGTGTCGTGAAACGCAACACGGACTGGATTGAAGTAATGCTTACGTGGTTCCGATCCAGTCTTCCCCATAAGATCTATGGGAAAAGGAGAGAGGAGGTTTTTTAGTGGGTAGAAATCCCACACTACCGACCATCACATGTAAAGATAGCGGTGTCTTTGAAAGATTTTTCCTTCTCTATATATAAAACACACACACACACCATCGGAAAAATAGTCAGGGAAGCTTCCTAGGATCTCAGTACTTGGAGATCTGATGAGAACTCGATTTTCGAAAACTGGGGTGAAACCAATAACTTCCCGATTTTTTTGAAAATCGTTGATTTTCATAGCGGGAAGTTAAAAAAATGCAGCGAAATGAATTAGAGTCATGTTTAAAAGTGGTCGATTTGTCGTGAAATATCTCATATAACTAACATAATTTCAAATCTATAAAGGTAATTTCATAATTATTTAACATGATAAATAGATAATATCTTTTTAGTAAATTATTTGTTTATCGAAGTAAATTGCTATGTTACTTATAGATCAATATAATTTCTAATTAGAGATGATTGAATTAATACAAGAAGGAATGATGAATTTTAAAAAACCTTAATTCAGTAGGAGTACTTTTTAAAAATTTTTTATATTTTAGACTTTGATAAGTCGAAATTTATACTGACAACGTTCGTTTGACAACCCATAGATTTTCTACTTAAAATATAACATATTCTACAAATGCATAGAAATGCATAAATGATATGCAAATGTATTATCACCGTATGACAATATCAATTTAGTATTAAACGTCTTAAATAATATAGAATAATAATTATTTTGCACGACTCATGATGCGAAGCATCAGAGAGTGCTTTACGATCGAAAAATTTTTTTCGCCTCATTTTGGCAGCTATTTTTAGTATTATAGCCTTGTTAGTTCACGGAATCAAGATATTTTGCATACTATTGTCGAGATAATTTAATGGAGATTAATTCCATACTTTTTAAAAATTGATTTACTGCAATAGAATCGAAAAAAAACACCAAAATAGGCTAAAAAATTTTCCTGTCCGTCATGTGTGAAACCCGAAAACACTGTAACTTGTGAAAAAATCCATTATTCGAGTTAAATTTTTTTTTTTTAAATTCTAATCGATGATTGTAGGTCACTGAATACGAATGATTAATTAATTCAGTGTCGTTTAATTACAATTAATAAAAAACGAAAACTACAAGACTGTATATCTATATATATCCATGTAAAATTAACATGGATGGTGACATATCTATAGATATTATGTACATTTATTCCACCAGAGGCGCTTGTGCAGTACCTTCCTAGTACAGCTGTTTTTTCGGCAACTAATTTTGAACGACTTATGTTTTATTTTTTTTTTTTTAATCTTTTATAATTAAATGAGCATTATGAGTCGTGCACTTTTAGATTTTCCAAACTTTTTTTTGTCTTCATACTTTTGACATTCTTATATATTGGTCCATATAAACTTCAATTTAATCTATTATAAATAATAATTAATAATATTTAGTTATATAAGGTAGTTTTGTATTAATTATTATATTTATGGTCATTATTATTATCATTATTATTAGTACAACTATTATTCAAATAAATAATATTGATGTATAGTTATTGTTCAAATGATTGTTTAACTTGGAGGCCTTTCATCTTTAGTTTCACTACTCTCTGGTAATTTAATAAAAGGTAGATCACCACCACTCCACATTGAATACAATTGAGATTTTGATGATTCCTTTATAATCAATAAACTAATTTATATTATTCACATACATTGTTTCATAACATTGTAATACAAGAAAATAATTTTACCCCAGTACAAACACCAGCACTTTCAGATCCAGATCTACTGTTTCCTGATAAACATGAGTCTGTAGACGATGAACTTTTTCGAGATGGAAGAAGATCATTGACTCCAGAAATATCATTATCACGGTGAACGCTTGCGCTACCACCGCTAAGTTCTAGAATAAATGTTATTTATCAAATGAATTTTCGTTTTAGATTTATTTTAAAAAAATGGACTTTTTAAAATTAATGAATAATGAATAAGCGATTTTGGGTAATTTTTATAAAAATAGTTTTTATAAGAAAGATTTTTAAAATGATAATTATTAGATTGAGCCAAAATAATAGACTATTTATTCAACTTTGTGCTATGAAAACTAATAATTTACAAAAATCGAGCTTGATTTTCGAAAACCGTATTAAAAAGTATTGGTTTTCATAGCAGGAAATTAAAAAACTACTTATCACTGGGTTCTCACGAAGAATTTGAAAATATTTTTGTCTTAACTTGATTTTCATTTAGTTTGAAGTAAATCGGTGAGGTGATTTCTTCAAAAGTATAGTTAAGAAGATTTTAACCAAATAAAGAATGAGTAAAATTACCAGAATCTCTGTGCTCCCCACTGTTATCACTATCACGCTGTCCAGATTGATCCGAATGATCGCTAGAATGTGAATCCTGAGGCCAACACCTGGGTGATCCAACTCTTTTGGAATCCGGCCAGATTGAGTTATCATAATTACTATCAAAATTACAAGTAGTGAGTGTTACGCCAGGTATATGTTGGCCAATAAAAGCAGATAATTGATTAGCTGGCCTAACACCAGGCCTACAAGAAAGTAATTGAATGGCTTCTTGTAGACCATCTTGACTAGCCATGCCCGATGACTTCCAAACAGAATCGGGTGTAGTTGATCTACTACGATCCCGATGTGGCACTCTTAGTCTTGTTTTTTCTTCTTGCCTTGGCCATTCTGTGACGTGTCGACAGTCCCAAGGCATCGACCATCTTCTCATTGTACTTTCCGTAGACTCACCTGACATTTCAGCAGCGGCGGTTTCCGACCACCTCCTCTGAACCTGCAGAGGAAAGAGTGGATATCGCAATGGTGACCTATGACTATTTTGTTGTGTCGATGATGACGATACTGGTGTTTGTGGACTATATAAACGTTCAAAGCATTGTTGAAGAGCAGCAATATCACATTCATTTTTCCCGGATTGAGAACAGGAACACTCAGCCATACTTCCTGTAATATTTATTGTTTATTAAAATTATTATCTATTCAAGTCAAAAGGCATTCATCGGATATCAGTGATTTTAAATGTTGCTAATGGATGCCTTAAGTGCCATAAATTTTTTATCTTTCCGCTAAGAAAATCAATAAAGAAGCTATTCTAATTATTCCTACAAGGATAACTCTTCGCGCGCGCGCGCGCGTGTGTGTGTGTATATATAACCTCCGTATAGCTTTCAAGCGGCTTGACCGATCGAAACGAGGTTGACAGCGTTTGAAAGAGTTACGTTGCCATTAAATTTGACGTGAATTAAATTAATTCGGCTTGGTAGATTTTGAGAAATCTCAAAAATAAAATTTTCAAAAAATATTTTTTTGAGATAACGCTTAAACTAATGTATCGATCGATTCTGAAAACTATTCAACTCTTTACCTCAAACAACAACATTGATTGCCGGAAACCGCATCAAAATCGGTTCATTCGTTCAAGAGAAATCGTTGTCAAAAAATTTGTTAAAAAGTATTTTTAACTTCCCGTTAAGAAAATTGAAAATTTTCAAAAATCGGGAAGTTATTGGTTTTACCCCGTTTTTCATCAGATCTCGACGTTTTGAGATCCTCGGAAGCTTTCCTGACTATTCCCGCGAGGTTGTCACTATGTGTGTGTGTGTGTGTGTGTGTGTGTGTGTGTGTGTGTTTTTTCGTTTTTTTTTTTTTACGGTTTTACGG